CAGTGTCGTAGGGGCAGTGTCAGTGTCGTAGGGGCAGTGTCAGTGTCGTAGGGGCAGTGTCAGTGTCGTAGGGGCAGTGTCAGTGTCGTAGGGGCAGTGTCGTAGGCAGTGTTCGTAGGGGCAGTGTCATGTCGTAGGGGCAGTGTCAGTGTCGTAGGGGCAGTGTCAGTGTCGTAGGGGCAGTGTCAGTGTCGTAGGGGCAGTGTCGTAGGGGCAGTGTCAGTGTCGTAGGGGCAGTGTCGTGTCGTAGGGGCAGTGTCAGTAGTCGTAGGGGCAGTGTCAGTTCGTAGGGGCAGTGTCAGGTGTCGTAGGGGCAGTGTCAGTGTCGTAGGGGCAGTGTCAGTGTCGTAGGGCAGTGTCAGTGTCGTAGGGGCAGTGTCAGTGTCGTAGGGGCATCGTGTCGTAGGGGCTAGTGTCAGTGTCGTAGGGGCAGTGTCAGTGTCGTAGGGGCAGTGTCAGTGTCGTAGGGGCAGTGTCAGTGTCGTAGGGGCAGTGTCAGTGTCGTAGGGGCAGTGTCGTAGGGGCAGTGTCAGTGTCGTAGGGGCAGTGTCAGTGTCGTAGGGGCAGTGTCAGTGTCGTAGGGGCAGTGTCAGTGTCGTAGGGGCAGTGTCCGTGCAGTGTCGTAGGGAGGCAGTGTCGTAGGGGCAGTGTCAGTGTCGTAGGGGCAGTGTCAGTGTCGTAGGGGCAGTGTCAGTGTCGTAGGGGCAGTGTCAGTGTCGTAGGGGCAGTGTCAGTGTCGTAGGGGCAGTGTCGGTGTAGGGGCAGTGTGTCAGTGGGTCGTAGGGGCAGTGTCAGATGTCCGTAGGGGCAGTGTCAGTGTCGTAGGGGCAGTGTCAGTGTCGTAGGGGCAGTGTCGGTGTCGTGTCATGGGGAGCAATTTAGAGGAAATTTGTTGTGGAACAGAGCATCGGATGTAAGAGTTCAGTGAAGGTGGATTCTACATCAAGTAGGGCTAGTGGGATGGTCTTGGTACAGGACGGGCTAGTCTCGTGTGGATGGACGATAGTTGCAGTTGATTTTTGTCCTGTGTGAGATGGTTAGTGTTTTGTTACTACAGGAAGATCTTCCAGGGTTTATTCCCTCAATAAAATTATATACATCCCGGATATAGGATTCAAGTTGTACTGCTAATAATTTTGTAAGCGGGGAGACGAACTTCTATTGTTTACTCCTCTCAATATATAGTGACAGAAATATCCTAAAATAACTTTGTTGTTGGTAGAGGAATATGCAAAAAGCATCGGTATACTTTATTGAACAAATTATAAACCCGAATTAATGGTGTCAATATTTTGACTGAGCCGTTTCCTCCAGTAGTGTTGCCACGAAGTTATTGAGCAGTCAAATAATAAACTACACTATAAGAACATAAATAGTTGAACACTGTCTTACGCACCTGTTTGATCAATTTTATCATCATTTTAATGGTATACAATACTGATAATTAGATGAATAAGATATATGTGCAACACTTTAGTATCTGTTCTACATGGCTCATCTACTTAATAAATTATAGTGAACGTAAGTATATATACTTGATTATACTGTGTATCTATACATGAAGGAATACTTTCCAAGGTGTGGAGTAGCAACAGAGTAGCGGTCAGCCCACACACACTTCCTATGTATAGTTACTTTTAACAAAATCTTCAATTATAAAATAAAGCTCCCCAGAGTGCAATGTCTGAAAAGATGGAAACTAGTTAACTTAAATAATCCCAGTTGATTATTATTCTTCGGGTTAGATATGTTACAATCAACAATGTAAGATTACTGAAAAGGAGAAGGTCTTTTTTTTTTTTTTTCACAGGGTTTGACAAGGTTCACGTAGTCTCTCATATTCGACATTGACATGCATAAAATGTTTTACTGTATCAACATTTGTGTGAGTGGCATACATAGAGAGAACAGAAAATCTCAATAAAGTTGGTAGAATTCCCGACAATTTGTAAAGTAAAAGGATACAAGTGCAACTAATGTGACATTTATTGTGGCAACGTTTCGCTCTCCAGGAGCTTTATCAAGCTCCTGGAGAGCGAAACCGTTGCCACAATAAATGTCACATTAGTTGCACTTGTGTCCTTTTACTTTACAGAAAATCTTAAGTTATGAACCAGGTCTTCCACTGAGCTACACAATAATGATCGTCACTGAAGACAGTTTTCACCTACCCAGCAATGGGAAAAAAATGAAGGAATTAAGAACTGAACGGAATATAAAATAAACCCAAACCACCCAATAGAAGGGAAGGGAATGTTAGGCATTTGAGATTGGTAATTAGATCTTACGTTCAAGAATCACATTAGTGTTGCTATCACAAGCACATTGATAGACTGGTTAATCATAACATTAAAAAAAATAATGCCAAACTAATACTGCTAAGTCACATTCGTTGTCTTAACTGGAATATTACTGCACGCTAACCATTACTCTTTAAAGCAAGCTAAATCACACATCAGGAGAATGTATAAATTCAACAAGCACCTGAATTATTGGGAACGCTTGAAGTACCTTGAATTGTAGTACTCTTTGGAACCTGAACGAGATAGGTGTATTATAATTTACACCTGGAAAGTTGTGGAGGAATTGATCCCAAATTTGCTCACCGAAATTACTCCCCGCTAGAACACAGACTTGACACAGTGCAGAATACGTACAGTGACAAGTAAGAGTGCAAGAAATGCTCTTAAGATAACTCAGTAAGTGCAAAGGGTTCAAGACTTTTCAGCACACACTCTTCATACACAAATTGGGGGGGGGGGATTTTCAACAGACCACTAGCTGTCAAGAGGGATCTGGCAAAGTTCCTAAAGTGAGCTTCTGATCAACCAGGCTATGGTGCGTATGCTGGACAGCATGTGGCTAGTAACAACATCCTAGTTGATCAGGTCATCAACCAGGATGCAGGTCATCAACCAGGATGCCTGAACCAGGATCTGTCTGCGGAGGTGGGGGGGTTGACCTCTGAAATCATCCTTAGATGACTTTCAGGATCTGCGCCCCTACATGCCAAGATTCAAACTACCCATGTCGTAGACTGGCAGGTGTTAGGTGCCAGGTGGCACTTCCCTGTGGCATGCTAGAGGCATGCTTAATTTTCATTGGTTGAAGTCAGCTTGGGTGTGTGCCCGTTGAAAGAGCAACTATAGAAGCCAGTTATATTAATATAAGCACCGTGGTACAAGACAGTAAGTTATGTCCTGTGACTCCTCGCTGCTACGTTATCCACTTACTCAGTCATTGAATTATAACTGTTCTTGTTACTGTAGTATCAGAGTGATAAATTAATTTCCTAGGTTTTGTTTTGATCTGTATGACGCTTACGGGTTATGTGCTTCCTATATTATATATATATATATATATATTATATATATATATTATATATATATATATATATATATATATATATATATATATATATATATTATATAAGGAAGTTTTGTGTGCGAGGGGCTTGGACTTCCAGCAAGCATGTGTAAGCTTATTTGATAGGAGTAAATGGAGACAAATGGTTTTCAATACTTGACGTGCTGTTGGAGTGTGAGCAAAGTAACATTTATGAAGGGAGTCAGGGAAACCGGAAGGCCGGACTTGAGTCCTGGAGATGGGAAGTACAGTGCCTGCACTCTGAAGGAGGGGTGTTAATGTTGCAGTTTAAAAACTGTAGTGTAAAGCACCCTTCTGGCAAGACAGTGATGGAGTGAATGATGGTGAAAGTTTTTCTTTTTCGGGCACCTGCCTTGGTGGGAATCGGCCGATGTGTTAAATATATATAATATATATATTATATAATTATTATATATAATTATTATTATTATTATTACTATTCACAGTTGAAGACACTGCAGAAATGTTTCGCCACAGGTGACTTCTTCAGTCCTGATGATTAGGATTGAAGCCACATTTGGCGAAACGTTTCTTCAATAATTACCTTGAACTGTGCATGTCCCTTTATCTACATAATGTGGGTATCACCATACCTTCAGTCAGGTGTTATTGTTTTGATTTTTGTTGTTAATATTTTGTTTGTATTATTTGAGAAATCCCATGTTTTTACAGTGTGTTTCAAACTTTGGTCATAATATATTTGTATGATAATTATCACAGGTACTTTGTATTCCTTCACTACTTACAGTATTTTTGGCAAGTCTGCATAATGGTAGACTTAGACAAGTTACGCTCACGGTAGAGAGAAATTCTCATTCCATTTTAAGATGTGTTAGTCATGGCTAAATTGAGTGTCTTCAGCACCTTGTGCTGAGACATTTTAATGCAGTTTCGCTACTCTCTAGAATTGGTAAAAATAATAATTTTTTTTTCTTTTCAAGATTACGTTTATATTTTATGTTGTGGTATTTCAAAATGTTGCAGAAAAAAGTCGTAATTTTTTTGGGGGGGTGGGCCGTTCTGGCGATGGTTCTGAATTTTAGCTTACTACGTTTCTCTCTCTCTCTCTCTCTCTCTCTCTCTCTCTCTCTTCTCTCTCTCTCTTCTCTTCTTTCTCTTTCTCTCTCTCTCTCTTTCTCTCTTCTCTTTCTGCTTTCTCTTTCTTTGCTTTCTGTTTCTTTCTCTTTCTTTCTCTTTTTTCTCTTTTTCTTCTCTTTTCTCTTTCTCTTCTCTTTCTCTTCTTCTCTTTCTCTCTCTTTCTCTTTTCTCTCTTCTTCTCTCTCTTTCTCTTCTTCTCTTCTTTCTCTCTCTCTCTTTCTCTTCTCTCTCTCTTCTCTCTCTCTCTCTCTCTCTCTCTCTCTCTCTCTCTGTCACTAGAGATGAGACACCGTGTGTATAAATCTGCAACTATAAATATAAATTGGTAATTTATATACGCAAAATGATAAGCAATAACCTTGCAGTTTATGGAAAGCTGTAAACCAGTGAGTCACCGAGAACAAGAAATGGGAGGTTCGAGCCTCCGTCCGCTAATCAGGAGGAGATGGATACACTAAGTAACTGTAGTGAAAGATTTCCTGCCAGTGGGTGACGGTGATGTTGTTGTGTTGCAGAACACTGCGTGCCTGGACGACTTCGAGCGCCTCAAGACCCTGGGCACGGGGTCGTTCGGGCGGGTGATGCTGGTACAACACAAAGCTACCAAGGAGTACTACGCTATGAAGATACTCGACAAACAGAAGGTAAGTCTCTCACCCTTTATCTACCTGGAGGACGTTCCGGGGGTCATCGCCCCCGCGGCCTCGTCCTTGATTTTTTGTATGGAAGGATGGTTTGCTGTGTTAATTATACCGTATATATGGACATGCATTTATGAAATTATAAACATGTTGATTATGAGTGATCATTGTTATTGTTTATGTTAATTTAGTGAAAACCCTTGATGTTTGTGATGAAGAATAACAACGATGGATAAAAAAAAAAAGAGCCAAGCATTATGTCGAGCTTTTGAAGAAGCCTTATTTAAATATAGATAAAATTGCATTTTTTATTTAATTTTCGTAGCAGTTTACACTGCCCTTAAAGCGTGGTACGTGATGAGCTGTGAAGAACTAAGCTTGAATGCATTGACATTTATTCAAGCTGTTAAAATATACTGTCAGTTTTTTTTTTTTGTTTTTTTTTTATAACATAGAGATGCATTGGTACTCGACCCGCTTGGTATTTTAGCTGTTGAGAAATATACCTCATAGTGCAAGTGCTAGGACATGAGAAGTAAATAAGCAGCCGGACTCAAGATTGTTGGAGCGTCCGGGTTGGGTTGAAATAGTCTCCTAGTGTTAAGAGCTCCTTATACTTGGTATTTCCTATTGGATGTCTTAATTCTTACCTAGGCACTGTCTGGACCCTCATGCAAGTTATATTGGCATAACTCTTCAATGTTCTACATCCTCAATACTTGCGCGAGTATCCTAGTCTCTGTATCTTGGAAATTTTTCCCTGAATGTTAGTGAGGCGCCGTGAAAGTACTTGAAAATTAATTACTTTTCAAAGTGATTAAAGTGAAATAACACGTTTATTGATCCTATGTATGATGAATGTATGTATATAGACAAGTTTTACCAGGATATTAAACTCCATCATTCTTACTCATTGACATTTGTTTATTACAACTTAATCTAAGTTTATTCAACTTCGTATTTAACAACGGAACACAACCAACTTTCTCAAGTCACCAAAATTTGTCTGCTTGAAACTGAGTCTAGATGCTTGAAAATAACTGAAACAGCTGAGCACTAACAAGTCGTGTTCCAGTCCTGTAATAACTTCACCTTTGTCACACTAATATTTTCTAGTTAAATTTGTTCCTCCAGTTTAGTCTTTAGTTTCATGTTATATATTTAGGGGAAGCGCTAACCCGTAGTGGTCATACAGCTCCTGGGGAATGGGAGAGGTTCCATCGAAGTGGAACGCCAGTACAATTGCTGAATCAAGAGTCCCTCCCCATCATCAAGGAACCTCGCTGGAGGAGTGTCAGGTCACCATACAGAGAAGACCTGGGCCAGGACCCGTCCTGGCAAACCTACCTAAACCTGCTAGACAAGTCACCTTCTTGAAACACTGTTCTTGGTTATTAGTGTTATTCTTCTCATGGGAACCCTTTGAAGACTGCACGTGTTATTACTCCAGATGTGGAAGAAGACACACAAGAGGAAACGTTTCGCTACGAGTGACCGCTGCAAGGTTCTGAAGCTCGGGAGTGTCCATATCCCTAGCACTTATAAGTTAAATAATGTAGAACTTAGCCATACAGATTGTGAAAAGGACTTGGGGGTTATGGTAAGCAGTAACCTTAAACCAAGACAGCAATGCCTAAACGTACGTAATAAGGCAAATAGATTATTGGGATTTATATCAAGAAGTGTAAGCAACAGAAGTCCAGAGGTTATACTGCAGCTTTATACATCATTAGTAAGGCCTCACCTAGATTATGCAGCTCAGTTCTGGTCTCCATATTACAGAATGGACATAAATTCATTAGAAAACATTCAGCGTAGAATGACTAAATTAATACATAGCATAAGAAATCTTCCTTATGAAGAAAGATTGAAGACTCGTAAATTACATTCACTTGTTAGAAGAAGAATGAGGGGAGACATGATTACCTCATCTTCTGTATATAGTCCTACTGTCTTCAAGCTATGTCCTAGAATTTGTATTGATAAAGCCACTGGATGGCGAAACGTCTACAATAAAGATACCCAGATGTTGCACATGTACATAAATGCCTTGTCCCACATCTTGTTGGTATCACCAGACCATATTTATTGTTGTATTAATTTTTGGTAGAAATACACTGTTAGATAAAAGGACGTAAGTGCAACTAATGTGATATTGTGGCACAATGTCACATTAGCTATACTTGTGTCCTTTTACCATAGAGGTTGGCTGAGACGATTATAATTTTTGGTTTGGAAATTCTCTTCATTTTCCTTGCTGGTGCTGTCGTCTCGTTTGTATACTACTCTTGGGTCCTCTTTCATTATTGCTGGGTCGCACATGAAACCTATACAGTACCGACAAGATGAAAAATTACACGCATGTACAACATCTGGGTATCTTTATTTGTAGACATTTCTCCATCCAGTGACTTTATCAATACAAGAACTTAATGTGAAGACAGTAGAGCTATATACAAAAGATGAGGTAATCAGTCCCTCAGCCTTGAAGTTGAAGAGCACTGTAGTCTTCAAGACTACGGTAGTCTTCACCAACTCCAAGGCTGAGGGACTGATTACCTCGTCTTTTGTATATAATTCTAAAGTCTTCATAGTACGTCGTTGTAATTATAAAACCACTGGATGGCGAAACTTTTACAGAAAAAGAGTACTCAGATGTTGCAAATGTGTTTTATTCTTCATTCCTGGGTTGCTTTATCTCCTTTGTTTTGTTGAAGTTCAAGGGAAAATAGAGTAACTAATCACTAGAAAATATCTCAGAAGAGATAGGTATACTTGCTGGGTAGGCAGTGAAGTTTTCATTTATGGGGATCAGTGTCAGGGAGGCCTGGTAATGGACCAGGCCGCTGGGGCGTTGATACCCGGAATACCTTCAGGTAGGTAGGCAGTGGTAAAGGAAGGTACGTGGTTATGGCATTGTTTGAGGCTGTGGTGCTTATGTTGGACTTATTGTGGCTAGCACCTAACAGCCTGCTTGATCAGGCCATCCACTGCGAGTAAATATTAAAATGGTATACAATACAGGCAGGTTGATAAGTAAGATACAAATGCAACAGTCACGTATCTTTATTCCGAAACGTTTCGCCTACACAGTAGGCTTCTTCAGTCGAGTACAGAAGAGTGAACGGAAGCAGTAGAAATGTAAAAATGATGTCATCAGTGTATCACCCTTGTACACGTAGTTTTGAGGTGGTCAGTCCCTCAGCTGAGGGACTGACCACCTGGTGGAGAGGAAGGGGGTGTGGTCAGCTGGCGGAGAGGAAGGGGGTGTGGTCAGCTGGTGGAGAGGAAGGTGGTGTGGTCAGCTGGTGTATATCGATCATAGCATCATCGGTGACGTCAGCACAGTCCATCATTCAGGAAGCATCAGTAGATCATCGTGATGCCTATTAATAGTTAAGCTGCGTCCTCAGGCTGTGGCGGCGGCGATGGCGGCAGCAGCCGCCGCACCCAACACCGCCGCCGCCAACTCTGCCGCCGCCAACACTGCCAAGACTACCACCATTTGTACATTACTATCTCTTATAATATGAGGTAACATTAGAACATAGAGGAACACTGCAGCAGGCAGTGTCCTTCTCAAACCCACTATAATAAAAATATTTGCCCAACCCAGTTTCAGTGCTATCCAAGGAATAAGCTTTGATAACCTTAAGTCATATGCAAGCCGCACTTGAATCCAACCCCTCTCGCTCGTGTATTTTTCTAGCCTAAATTTGAAGTTATTCAAGGTTTTAGCTTCAATAACTCTCAGGCAAACTGTTCCACTCATCGACTACTCTCTCCAAACCGACACTCTACTATATCCTTTCTTAATCTAATGTTTACTGTAGCTTCATCACCTTTCGTCTCCACCGAACATGGTCACACATCTTATCCCTGATTCTGGGGAGTTTTGGTGTTTGGAGAAGTTCCTTGATTCAAGGAATCGGAGGTGTTTTTTCCTTCCACGAATCAAAAATGATCCCAGTCCTCACGCTCTGTGTAACCCTTACCAGTTTAACTCTTCGTCACGCCTATAATAATAATCTTGGACATCCAAGACTTGGTCACTTAATATGCTGATAAATATATAATCAGTATCGATTGCAAGTGTTTGAGGTAATATTAATAATAAATATCTAGTGATGTAATAAGGGTATTGTGAAGAATTACACACATGTGCAACATCTGTGTAGATGTTTCGCCAACCAGTGGTTTTATCAATACAATACAGGGACATAATATGAAGAATGAGAAATTGTATACAAAAGATGAGGTAATCAGTCCCTCAGCGTTGTTATTGGTGAGCACCTGCTGGCTGAGGGACTGATTACCTCAAACTACTCCTGATCTTCATTCTTTGTATTGGACTGATGACGCCACTATTTGCCGAAACGTTTCCACAATAAAGATGCGAAGTGTTGCACATATTTGTGATGTATCGAAGTTTGCGTTGTTATCTCGAGTGTCATCCTTAACTTTTATCAGGAGTCACCAGTTACTTTCACGTGTTTTACAGAAGACACTCGAGGTGTTTTACAGAAGACACTCGAGGTGTTTTACAGAAGACACTCGAGGTGTTTTACAGAAGACACTCGAGGTGTTTTACAGAAGACACTCGAGGTGTTTTTACAGAAGACACTCGAGGTGTTTTACAGAAGACACTCGAGGTGTTTTACAGAAGACACTCGAGGTGTTTTACAGAAGACACTCGAGGTGTTTTACAGAAGACACTCGAGGTGTTTTACAGAAGACACTCGAGGTGTTTTACAGAAGACACTCGAGGTGTTTTACAGAAGACACTCGAGGTGTTTTACAGAAGACACTCGAGGTGTTTTACAGAAGACACTCGAGGTGTTTTACAGAAGGACACTCGAGGTGTTTTACAGAAGGGCACTCGAGGTGTTTTACAGAAGACACTCGAGGTGTTTTACAGAAGACACTCGAGGTGTTTTACAGAAGACACTCGAGGTGTTTTACAGAAGACACTCGAGGTGTTTTACAGAAGACACTCGAGGTGT